TAAATAAAAATATATTCGAAATAAATAACAAAATAATATTACACATATGCGTTTAATATTTGCGAAGAACAAAATACAATTAATGACATAAAATCTAAACGGCAATTACGTTATGTTAATACACACAGACGGGAAGGAACGGATCGAAGGAATAGATACGGAACGGGCCAATCAATACTCGGCCTGGCGAGGAACGGATGACGGGACCGAGGCGATGTATATCATTACAGTAAGAGGAATAATTTAAATCCTTTAGCAACTATAAATAAGTAAAAATAAAAAATAAAATATGATCATGCACTAACCTAAGGTCGGAAGGGTTTTAAGAGAGGTACAGATGCCAATGTCTACTCTTCTACTTCTCACAGACCATTTTGATCCAAATAATATGAATATACATATTCATCTACGTGTTCTATTTCTGTCCCTTGGATGTTTATCATAGGTTTGTCATCTTTGTTTGATATTAGTTTAGTTTTGCTGAAATTCATTTTCAGTTCTTTTTTTAGGGATTCTTTGTGAAGCTCGTCAATCATCGTATTCAGTGCATTCCACGTGTCGGCTATTAGTACTACATCATCTGCGTATCTGAGATGGTTCAAGTATCTTCCGTTAATAGGGATTCCCTTATTTTCCCAGTCTATTGACTTAAAGATATCTTCTAGAGCAGCTGTAAATAATTTTGAAGATATTGTGTCTCCTTGTCTTACGCCTCGGTTGATTTTTACTGGTCTTGTTTCGATTCCATGACCTAACGTCACTATCATCTCAGCTTGTTCGTAAATTTATGTATTAATATTCTGTACCTCAGAGTCGATCCGGTTGTTGACTAATCCTTCTTCTATTGCATACAGTTTTACGCTAGCAAAAGCTTTTTCATAGTCTATAAAAGCCAGACATAATGGGAGATTGTATTCGTTAGTCTTTTCTATTATAATTTTAAGTATATAGATGGTCACAGGCACTGTACTCTTTTCTTAATCCGGCTTGTTCTACTGGTTGATATCCGTCAAATTTAATTGTTAACCTGTTTGTATTAATCTTTGTACCGGTTTTGTAAAGTTGTGAAATAAGTGAAATTGGTCGATAATTTTTCAGGTCTGTGATGTCTCCCTTTTTGTGTATTAGTATTGTTTTAGCAGTATTCCATTGTTCAGGTATGTTGCATTCGAATAGAAATTTATTAAATAGTATTTGTAGATATGTGATGGCTTCTTCTCCGCTTTCCTTTAACATTTCTGCTAGAATTTCATCGCTTCCCGGAGCTTTATTTCTTTTTATTTATTTTACTGCTCTTTCTATTTCTTCGTGGTTTATTTCGGGTATCACTTCTGAGTTGACATTTGTTATCTTCTTAAGGTGCCTTCTCCATTACTGAAGGTTGGCTATAACTACAGCAAATTGCTCTCTATCTTGAGCTGTTCTTAGTATCGCATGTGTGTCCATGCCTGTCCAGTCTCTTATGTTCTTCAACCAGGAGCATTTTCTTCTTCCTGGACCTCTTCTTCCTTCCACTTTCCCTTCCATTATAAGTCGTAGGAAGTTGTATTTTTCTCCTCTGTAGATATGTCCTAAATAACTCGTTTTTCGGTTTTTTACAATATTTAGGAGTTCTCTGTCAGTACCCATTCTTCTTAGCACCTCGTTGTTGGTCACGTGCTCTGTCCAAGAGATCTTCAGCATTCTTCGAAAAACCCACATCTCAAAGGCTTCTATACGCCTCATACTTGTAATTCCGAGAGTCCATGTTTCCACTCCGTATAGCAATATGGAATAAATAAACGTTTTTACAAATTGGTATCGGATGTCCAACGATAACGTAGAGTTTATTAGAAATTTTTTCATTCGCTGAAATGCGGACCTAGCATATTCTATACGAGCACGTATTTCGACCTCGTGGTCAAGATCGTTTGTTATCCAGCAACCAAGATACTGGAATCTTTGTACTGGTTCTATATGTTTGTTATAGATACGAATATTAATGTCGACATTTGGTGCACGTGTAACAGCCATCACTTTTGTTTTATTTGTGTTTATATTTAGTCCCAAGCTATCTCCCTCTCTGGTTATGACATTCAAAAGTCGTTGTAAACCCTCAGCACTGTCCGCAATAATGACGGTGTCGTCTGCGTATCTTAAGTTGTTTACGTATTCTCCGTTGATTTTTATTCCTTCTTCAATATTTTCGAGGGCATTTTGAAAGATCTTTTCGGAATATATATTAAATAACAGTGGAGAAAGTACACAGCCCTGACGAACTCCTCTTTTTATTGGCAATTCTGCTGTCAGACGATTGTCTATTTTGATAGATGCCATTTGATCCCAATATAGTTTTTTTAATAAGTGCTACAGTGTTATGGTCTATACCATGTTGTGTTAGGGTTTCTATGAGTTCTGTGTGTTTAACTCGATCAAACGCTTTTTCGTAGTCGATAAAACAGAGAAAGACGTCTTTTCGCTGATCTCGGCATTTTTGTAGTAATACCTGGAGGCCAAATAATGCCTCCCTTGTACCAAGCCCCATACGAAATCCAAATTGATTGTCGCTAAGGTTTCTTTCGCATTCTCTGTATATTCGTTGATGTACAATTTTGAGTAAAATTTTCAGAAAATGGCTCATCAGGCTAATTAATCTGAACTGTGAGCATCTATTTGCTTTATTTTTCTTGGGTATAGGTATAAATGTCGATCTAAGCCAGTCATCTGGGAAGATTCCAGTGGTATATATTTTGTTAAATAATATTGTTAATGTCTGAAGATTTTCTTCATTGATGAGCTTTATCATCTCTACGTATATTTCATCTGGACCTGAGGCTTTTCGTGACTTTGCCGTATTGATTGTTTTTGTAACTTCAGATGTTAATATATCAAGTATTGTTTCTTGTACTATATTCATTTGTGGTTCTGTTCTCTCGTCATCAAACAGATCTTCGATGTATTTTTCCCACATGTCTCCTACTTCTTCTGGACTAGATACTATTTCGTTGTTATCATCTACTAAAGTTGTTGTAGTGATTTTTTTCTTCATATTTGTGACTTCCTTAATCTTTTTGTAGGCATTAAAGTAGTCATGCTTTTTTAGTAAATGTCCCAGTTCCTCACACTTGCTGCTCATCCATTCTTCTTTGGCTTTCCTAATTTTGTTTCGGATGATTCTCTGGGTTTCTTTATATTTTTCTACATTACGATTTTTGTAAGATCGCCTTATGTCCATCAGTTCTAGGATTTCTTCTGTCATCCATGTATTCTTTGTTTTTCTGGTGCTGTCTTGTAGTTGTTCTCTTTGTATAGTTGTCATCGTTGTTTTGAAGGTGTGCCAAATACTTTCTATTGTCTCTTCTGCTTCCGCGGGGGTTTCACTGAACTTTTCTTTGAGTGTATCATTGAGTTTTTTCTCTATTTCTGCCTGTACTATTGGGTCTTTAAGTTTTTCTAGGTTAGGTTTTATATTCTTTCTGTATTTGTTATCTACCTTTTCAAATTCTGCTTTGAGGAGTTAGGGGGATGGTTTCTGGAACGATACAGATCGGCGTAGAACTTTTTAGTTGAGTTTGCTATATCAGAATTACTACATAAAAAAAAGATGTGAAATTGTGTCGTGGAAATGTGTCTGGTATAATACGGTATGAACTTGGCAACTACACAAAATGTGCCTACAGCAACACTCATATATTCCCAAGTTCCATAAACATAAGTTCAGGCCGATATCCCCAGGTTAAACCAGATTTGTCCCAAGAATATGTTAAAATTTCCCAAAGTAACTCGCTTGAGTGAAGGTGCAGTATGGAAGGATAGGTAGTCCTTCCGTATTGATTTACCTCCAAGACAAAGATGGCCCATTAACCTTTCTTACAAGATAGTCAAATTATCTGAAGGATGAACAGAATTATAAGCGGCAAAAGAATAAGTCTTTTATTTATTATTTCTCCATGTTATTTTGGTACGTTTGTTACTCTTGCAGTTGTTTCTATATCTACATTTTGTCTCTTACACTCTTTATGCGTTTCTAAAATATGATTTTCGTAATTTTTCGAAATATTTCTTATGGCAAACAACGTTGACAGGTTGTTGAAAAAGTGAAAAAAAGTAATTCCTGAAAAAATGGATTTGATACGATCTTAAAGTTGACCTAACTAAACAATGTGTCGATCGACTTCGTCTTGGTTTCCATTATAAAGCAACATATCCATTAACTGTTCATAGAAGGCTTGAAGAGTTCAAGCGTGACGTGCCAGCTGCTGTCTCGGAATGATGATGTGCGACGCATAATTGAAGCATATTAATATGTTAAGTATCATAAGTAAAAATTGGTGCCGCTGAACACTCAAAAGATTCAACGGCTGTTCATCGTGACTGACGAAAAAACTTGAATGTATTGTTATGGACCCGAAACGAAAAACAAATCAACTGTATGAATATTTAAAGACGAGCCAAAACAAATGGTCGCGCGTTTTTTTTTGGAAAAAAGAGACATGTTGCCACGATTTCATTAGAGAATGGTAAAACCGCCAATGCTAAATGATACACAACCATCAGAGGTGATTGATGGCTTCTCCAAAAACTACCGTAATCGTCGCATCTTCTTGCATCACAGTTCTCATGCAGCTTGTATAATATCCCAGTATTTGAATGCGAATAACATCATTTTGTTGGGACATCCTGCATACTTTTAAGTTTCTGTGTTCCGAGTTTCCGTGAATTCGAAGCAAACTAGGCGTTAAACGTTCTAAGACGCAAGATGGGATAGGTGGTAAAAGCATATAAAAATCTCATTTCTGATACCTATTTTGGACTGGCATAAATGGTTTCGACAATTTTTGGATTTTTCGAACAAAATAATTTTTCGAATGCAAAGTGTATTAATATTAAAGGCAAATACTTTGAAAATAACAAACATTAGTTCTCCCAAAAATTTGTTCTTTCATTATTTCTGAAAAACTTTTATTGTGTGGTCTTGTACTAGCTATATAATCAATCTTAAAATTTTAAATCCTTTATAGAAAAAGAAAGGGAAAGAGAGCGTGAACGTGAAAAGCCACCGAGAAACCTTGAACCCATCAGCAATACCGACGAAGCACAAAAGAAATTCGGTAACGCCAAAGCAATTTCATCAGACCAATTTTTCAATGATGGTAGTGCAGACTATGAAGCTCAGGCTAACTTAAGCAGATTTCAAGGTTCTTCCAGTATATCGTCGGCAGAATTTTTTGGTAATGGTAGAGGTAAGATTTTTTTTTTAATAGTAAGGTTGTTAAAATAATACCAAATTAGTGCAACATTTTATGGTTCTAGTAGTACTGTTATCTATTGTTTAATCTGATTTCCGATATTTCCTTTCTACCTAATTAATTGATCACCTAAACTAGAATATCAGGACTGATTTAGATAATGATCATTAAATCTTTTTCGACTACACTTAAGAGTAATTACGTTACGCAACAAATGATTTTTTTGTTTATTAAGGGCCTCAGTAGGAAGCCTTTTCTAGGGCCTCCTACTGAGACTCATTGATGGGTCCTAAATAGGAGCAAATACGTATAAGAGAATTGTAGAAGCACTATACGTGAAATCAAATCTTAACTGCCTTTTATATATCTTTATTTTGAGTATTAGTACGTTCATCAAAGGTACTTACTTGGATGAAACGATATGATGTGGAATGCAATTTTAGATTCCCCATTTCGATTTATTTCAACGTCTATTTGTTTGTATATTGTAGAAGCAACATATTTGAATGAAAATTTGAATTTTGGTTTCAAACTTGTTATTTGCTTTTAAAATTTAGACAAAATAAATCCAGAGTCTCGACTCCTTGTCTTTGCAGGTTGTAACAATATAACCACCTGCGAAAGTTGGATGCCAATGTAGAATAAAACTAACAACTTTCTTTGGGAGCAAATTGTTAGGCTTCCTTTAGTTCAGTATCTACGGTGTGAGAACGCTTTATCTTAGAAGTAAATCTGAAAAATGAGTTTGGCTGGGACAAATAAACCAAGATATTAATTAAATTCTTATTTATTGTACATAAATAAAATATAAAATTGAAATTTTAATATTAACTTAAAAAACAGCAAATCTTGTCTATAGTTTTATTTTTCAAGTAGATGGACAGGGTTACTTGTTGGTGACTGCCGTTGCTGGTTGGAGTTATATTTCAGGAATATCTTGAGTTTTCATAGCAGCTGCCACATACTGCTGTATATTGGCCCCTATGGTCGACCATAGCAAGGAGAACAGGAAAAATATAAATCAGGTCAAAAAACTAAAATAATAAACTTTGTGTTAGCACCATCATAACTTTTTAAATATTTCCTTGGCATTTGAAAATTACAAATAATTACAATATTAAATAGCAAATGACAAATTGGCAAGATAAATATAATAATTATTAAACAAATAGTTCAGTTAAATTAAAGATACTAAATGCACGTGGTTTGAAGAGAATCACGTGGGTTGGATGTTAGATATGTATAAAAAGTATAATATGAAATTTTATAAAGACAGATATAAAAAAAGTGATTAACTAGAAATGCACTAAACCCTGAAAAAATTTAATGATATAAATGAATTTTCAATCGAAGCATGCCTTTTATAGATGAACGACAACTTCCCTCTTTATTTTGAAGTACAGCTGACATGACAGAAGTCAAAGAGTAAGCAACTGACAGATATACTTTGTCGACTGAAGTGGTCATAGAAATTTTATGTTACACGGCATAGATAATAATACATAATGGGGTGTGAATAAAGGAATTAGAATATTAAGTGAAAATTAAAATTGTAATTTAGATTATGACAGAATATTTATTAAATAGAAAATTGATTAAAAAGTTGAGCGCCAACTATTTTTAAAATAAAAATAGTATGATAAAAGGTAAAGTTAATAAATAAATAAAATCAAAAGAAATTGAAATGAAATAATTATTTAACGAAGAGTAACAAACATGTGACTTGTAGAACGTTACAAGGTTTTAATTTAAACATTAATATTGAGCAGGTAATAAACTTTTTTTATGTATATCAAAAAAATACTTTCTGCGTTTTTAACAAATAAAGAAAGAACACAATAAACAAAAAATAAACTCACGCACATAACAAATATTCCTACAAGTGCACTTTGGCTTATTTCGTATGTTACAGTGTTACATTCTCTAAGTAGATACCAAATATATTTACCAATATAAATGGATTCTATAGGACTTCTTGGTGCTGTCTACATCGTATTGAACCTTTTCCCATGCTCCTAAACATTCCAAAACATTCATTCTCCTAATCATTTTATTTTATCTGACACTTCAGACACATATTATACATTTTAACGTAGATAACTAATAATATTGTCAACATTTTTGAGTTGGTTGCTGAGACCACTTTATTTGAAGATAGTTCATTCGATTACATAAAAACAACTTTTACTTAAGAATACCCATCATCATAGCATGTGATTTGTCCTTAAAAAGACAACCACAAGCAATGATGACAGTAAAATTCTCCTGTTAGCGATTCCATAATAAATCATGAAGGAAAAACCCCGTTATGATAAATTTATTTATAAACAAGTAATTTCACAAGATTGACGAAAGGAAACAACAAAACACCACAAGCAAACCAGAAACTCTCATAAGAAGGGATTTAAAAATGACAACAATATCACAACATTCAAAATAACCAATACACTGAGATCTATTGTCCAAAACCAAACCTAATAGATCACAAGAGAGATAAAAGAAATGCATCTTTAAAAGACTCTGTGATTGTAACAATTTCTATGTAGGAGAAACCGAAATACGTCTAGGTGTCAGAATAAACGAGCATGAAACATACATTAAAACAGAGACTTCGACAAATCACAGATATGCATACATACCTGGGATAATGTACAGGGTACAATGGAAAGATGCTTGAATATTCATGAAAAAAAAACAGACATGAAAAAGAGAAAAATCAAAGATCAATCTCTCATCCTACTTAATGAAGAAAAATGTGTAGCAAACACATCAGCGGAATGTAGCAGACCCTGGTTGCTAATACTAAAAGAAAAAATAAACAAAAAGAGTATATCAACATTAGCGGATTCTTAATATTGTTCTGAAGCTATTTTCTTGTGGCATTGTAAATTAATTACTATTTAACTGGGAATAAGCCACAATTAAAGATAAAAATACGTTTATTATAATAAACGTATTTTTATTTTTTATCTTTAATTGTGGCTTATTCCCAGTTAAATAGTAATTAATTAGCGGATTAATAGAAAGTCAGAAACACATCATCTACAACTATACATAATACATATATATTATATACACAATACATAAATATATAATACATAAACACATAAGACATACATAAACACATAACCAAACTAAACACAGAAAATAATCAGAATTTGATATCATTCTGAGGGTAAAACCACCACTCTCACAACTAAAAGCGAGGCCATTTACCTACAAGAGCGAGCGCAATGTAAGTTACCCATCAATTTGAAAAATATAATCGCCAAACAACTTTTGGTTATAATAAAACCCCACTATTTTTTAAAAATAATCTTTTTTGAAAACGATTACCGGATTGTAAATTAAAACGTCAAACAACAATTATAAAATGTCATTCTCATTACAATCAATTGTGGCTTAATCCCATATAACCATAATATTTATACATTTTTTAAAACAATTCTTTTTATTTTAGAGACAAATTATTCATCTAATAATGTACCCGCTTATGATCTAGAAGATGTTAAAGAAAGTGTTCGACAAGGTGTTACAAAAGTAGCTGGCAAGTTGGGATCTATGGCTAACGATTTAATGTCATCTATTCAGGTAAATTTTTTTGAATATTCAATAGAAAATGTTTTAATCACTGATAATGTAAGTCTAGGTTTATATCCTTTGGTTCTAAAATTGTTGTGCTCATCTCATAATTAACAGGTTTTCTTCAAAATTTCTTCTTTTTTTGCATATTTGGTAGTCTTCTATAATATAAAATTAGTAGCTATGAGTGTTTGTCTCCCTACATATTAATTATCGGTCGGCTAATTTCATTATATTGTTAGTAACATAATCAATCTTATAGAAATACTTATGTACGAAATCACACGTAGGTTTTTTAAAATATTTAAAAAAGTTTCTATAAGTCTTCCATGAAAACTTACCGTTTTCAGTTTATTTAACATTGAATTTTTGAATTCGATGAATAAAAGTCTACTTAAATATGTAATGGATTTGACCTTTACTTGATGGAAGATTATTTTATTAAGCAATAAAACACTAAAAACTTTTGTTTTTAGCACTTCCACAAATTTTTATTAAAATTAATTATCACTACAGCTGTTTCGGCAGAGTACCTTTCTCAAGTGAGCTATTTTTTGTTATGCATCCAACACTTTATATTATTTAACTATATAAGTTGAGTACGGGAGAACTGTTGCGTGGGGAAAAATTTGAAATTAGTTATTAATAGAATGATTGTGGTCTAGAAGGTGAAATGCGTAAGTAGAATATGTTTTTCTATTATAGAAAGTCCTTTTGTGTTCTGCCATGCGTTTGTTAAAAATTCTATCCATTTGACCCATGTAAGTTTTTTGGCAGGCGCCTCATGTAAGTTTGTATAAACCACTGTGTAGGTGTTTTATCTTTTAAATCGTGTTGTTCATAATATATTTGCTTAAGTTGTTTGTTCTGAAAGGTGGCGTTATTCCTTTCATTTTTGTTTTACATAATATGTTTGAGCAGAAAGTAATGCGTATAATAAAGACGAAGTGTAGGAACCGCTTGATAACAGACACTTTATATGGCATTAGGTATTCATCCCAATCAGTTCATCATCAGAAGGGTTGTGTCAATTTTACACTGTCAAGAAATAATTGTTAAAACTATGAATAGAACCAATTTATATTATCATCATTATCAGTAGCTCGACAACCCTTTCTGGGTCTTTGCTTGTTCTAGGATTTTCCGCCATTCTGTTCTGTTTTTTGCTTTGTTTTTCCAGTTGGTAATCTTGGTAAAGTGTTTTTAGATCTTGTTCCACTTGTTCCATGTATCTAAGTTTGGGTATTCCCTTTGACCTTCTCCCTACTGGTGTTTGCCTCATTATATGTTTTGGCGTTTCAGTCTCCATCATCCGTTCAACATGGGCCATCCAGCGCAGACGTCCGATCTTTATGGATGTTACGATCTCGGGTTCATTGTATACTGTGTATAGTTCAAAGTTATATCTTCTGCGCTATATGTCATTTTCCTTTACCCCCTTACATATGTATCTAAGGATTTTTCATTCAAATGTACCTAATAGGTTCTCATCGCTTTTCGACAGTTTCCACGTCTCTGATATATATAAAAGGACCGGTTTTATCAGGGTCGTGTATATTTTGCATTTGGTTTTTCTTGTTATGTTAGATCTTAGATGTTTAATCAGTCTATTATATGTTTTATTAGCGATATGTATTCTTCTCTTAACTTCTTCACTGATGTTGTTATCTGCGGTAACTAGTGAACCTAGATATGTAAAACCTTTCACGCTTTCGATGTTATAGTCTCGTATTGTCAGATTTTGTAGGTTTCTTTAGCCTGTCGATTTACTGGCCTTCATGTATTTGGTTTTTATTTCGGTAATATTTAGGCCACTGTTTTGTGCCGTTCTTTCTATCTCATTAAATGCTATTAATGATATTATATGATATCAACATCATCTGCAAATGCCAATATTTGTACACTTTTTGTTATTATTGTTCCTCTGGTGTTGACTTTTTACTCACTAATTATTTTCACTAATGTGATGTTGAATAGACTACAGGATAGGGCATCTCCCTGTCGTAGGCCCGTTCTCACATGGATTGTATCTGTTAGTTCGTTTTGAATTCGAATTTTGCTTTGTACTTAAGTGTTTCTTTTACTATATCAATGAGTTGAGTTGGTATATTAAACTCTTTCAGTGCATGGATCAGAAACTCTTGATGGATGCTATCATAGGCACTCTCAAAGTCAATGAAAAAACCAATTTATATATCCAATTTATTTATAAAGAAGCTGATGAGGAACTGCTAGAAGTTGAGATCGCATTAACTGAATGAAGAAATATTTTTTTACTTTTATGAATAGTTTGTTTCTTTTATATAATTTGTTTCTGACTTCGATGACCTGGTAACGCTGTATTACAGAAACGTAGCTATGAAACGAATTGGTTTGGTTACGCCGTCCAACTAAAAATTTCGGTTTGGTATATTTACGCGGGTTTCGAATTAAAAATTTTATTACCCAGTTTTAATTACCTGCTCTTTGGGAAATTATCAACTGGTCAAATGAAATGAAAAATAATCCATAACTTTTTTTAATTAAATAATAATGGAAAATCTTTTATATAATTGACAGTACAATAAGGAGAATTACTTCATTAATGGAGTCTAATGTGGCTAATATAAACCTAATAATAATTTTATATTACACTTTACACAGAAAATATGGTCCATGTATATTTGTTCCATGGAGAGAATTTCTAATGAAAAATAAAAAAATTTAACTTGCCAACAAAAATGAAAATCAGTCATTATCATCAAAAATATCATAATCGTCATCATCATCACTGTCATCACCATTAATTGTTATTATGATGGACTTATTTCGTTTATTTTATTTTCACGAGTCCACCAATCTTCTATTAGTTTCTCGCACTTGAATATACAGTTGCACCACACTTCTGGAGTTACAATTGAAAGTGCCTTTCGCCAAGTTTCCCGAACTGCGTTTCCCGTTAGGCCCAATATGGTTGTCATAATATTGTTTTGCTATTCCCCATATATATTCGATGGGATTAAACTGGCAATGATACGGTGGCAGACGTAAAACTTGATGACTGTAACTTTCAATAATCTGACCCACAACAAAGGTTTTTGGTTTTGCGTGGATATTTGCCAAGCGTAATAATTCTGATTTTAAAATATGTTGTGTAAATGGTATATGTTCCTTTGTCAACCATTCTTTAATTTTATTAACAGTCCAAGAATTCGTTGGAATTTTTTTTAATACTTCATAATGGTAAGGTGCATTGTCTAAAATAATTACGCTGGGCTCACTGAAACCTGGGAGAAGTTTTTCATGTAACCATTTTACAAACATTTCTGTGTTCATATTATCGTGATAGTCACTTGATTTTGATTTAGATGAAAATATTAAATCAGCACCTTCTATAAAACCCGATTTCCCTCCTGCATGTAAAATTATGTGTCGCTTCCCTTCTCCATCGGTATGTTTGATAGACTTTACGTTATCATCTTGCCATATTCTCTTGATTGCACCCCTAGAAAATATCCATGTTTCGTCTAAATATATAAAATTTGCCCTTTCTTCTTTTAATTTAGAATATGTATTTTCTTAGAAATTAATTACTAATTATATCTGGGAATAAGCCACAATTAAAGATAAAAATACGTTTATTGACGTTTCAATTTCCAATTCGGAAATCGTTCTCAAAATACAAACAGTAAATTAAATCAATTTACGTCTAAACCTGAATTCAACAATTAGTGGGTTGTGGTCGGAGTTGACACCTGTTCCAGGATAAACGACTACTGTTTTAGAAACTGTTCGGGAATCGTTTGGTAGCTTGTATCATAATTATAATAACCTAATCGTAATTGAGTCTGTCGCAATCACGAATAGGCCAATTTAATAAAAAATGTATATATGAATCACAAAAATATTTTAGGCAGTTATCAAAAACTTATTTTTGAATTTCAAGTAACATCACTGGAGATTCTTTGGCACTTTGAGTATGCCTTATAATTATGGTATTTATAAGAATACCGTAGTCATTTTTATTCGTGAAGGATCTAGACGAGAATTGTAGCAGAACTCACTTCATACTAATGCAGAAAGTATAACCCTAGAGATGACACAACTTATAGAAAAACTAATATTGCACTGCAAGATACCAGACGTACAGAGAATACAGAGTACAGAGATAATGATACTAATGTTCTAGAAAGAAGATAAAGAAGAACCCAACAATTGTAGATGTATAAATGTACTAAACATCGCACTTAAGCTTACCACAAAAGTCCTAACCAACAAAATCAATAAACTAACAACTTGATCAGGTGAACAACAAGAATTTACATCCAGAAGATCTTGCGTAGACGCCGTATTTGTACTGAGATAAATCACAGAAAAGGCCATCGAGTAAACAGCATATCTATGTTTTATAGACCTGACAAAAGCTTTCGATCGCATCCAAGTCGAAGACGTCTTACACCTACTGTATAAAAGATACAAAGCGTCGAAAACATCTATTTTCATAATCGAAGGCAGGCAAAGATAAATGGAAAACTAACACAGTGTATACCAGTACAAAGCGGAGTCAGGCAGGGTGACTCGTTAAGCCCACTTCTCTTTAATATAATAATGGACGAAATAATACAGCAGTATGTAAAGGTCATGGTTACAGAATGAAGAACAAAGAAATCTAAATATTATGTTATGCAGACGACGCCGCATTAATCGCCGAAACACAAGACGAGCTCCAAAAGATTAACACACATCTTCAATACAATAGAAAAGAAATACAATATGATAATATCAAGAAAAAATCAAATGTATGATAACATCTAAATAGCCACTACGATGTAAAATCGAAATTGATAGGAAAATAATAAAGCAGGAATCAAGGTTTAAATATCTGGGAATGGATATAACTAGTTACGGAGATGTTGAAGAAGTACGACAACAAAAGCTTAAAAGCAAGTATAGCGGCGGGATCTCTTAATGATACAATCTGGAAGAACAAACATCTAAGACAAGACAAAAAAACAATAATATATAAAACAGCAATTAGACCTATATTAACATACACGGTGGAGACAAGACCTGACACGTCTAAAGCCAGACGACTACTAGAAACAACAGAGATGCAAATACTCCGACGAATAATATCAGGGAAAATCTGTTGGATAGGGAGAGAAGCGAAAACGTAATAAAAGCATGCAATATAAAAGACAAATGGATTGGTGAGAAAACGGAAACAGGCGTGGAACGAACCCATTAGTAGAATGGCAGAGGATATCATAGTACGAATAGCACGAGATTAGTCACCAAATGGACGAAGAAGTATTGGCAGACCAAGAAAAAGATGGTGCGATAATTTAAATAATTTAGAAGGCTAATATTGAAGAAGAAAGAATCTTTAAAGTCTACATATAAGAAGGAAGAATAAGACTTCATATAATCATTCATGTTAATTAAAATTACATATAGTTATAAAAGATTATACATCTTGTTGTTAAAAAACTGTGATGTTCAGTATCAAATTAAATATGACTTCAGGTAACATACATTGCAAAAAATTGAGTTCCAGAGCCGGGGAGAAAACGCGCGAAGAACAGCTGGAAACTGAGAAACAGAGTTTCCAGCTGTTCTCCGTGCGTAGAGGTTTTCTCCCCGGCTCTGGAACTCGATTTTTTGCAATGTATGTTACCTGAAGTCATATTTAATTTAATACTAAACATCACAGTTTTTTAACAACAATATGTATAATCTTTTATAACTATATGTAATTTAAAGGGTTTTTACCCTTGTATTTTTGGTGGCTCAGGCATTTTAACCTAACGATTTTAAAACCTGATGATGGACTGTTTAGTTCGAAAACCTTTGTTTTTTTATGTAGCCCTTTTAAGGGTTTTTAAATAAATATACCCACTTACGAAGACTAACCACTTTTTTTGTGATACGTGGTATACAGCCAGCTACAGGAATTGTTTTCCTTGTGGATTTTGTTAATTTTTTTTATTTTGTCCATACATGATACATTGAGTCGCAGAAAAAATTTAAATGATAATTCACTAGAATATTGTTCATTTTTAATAAAAAAAAGTTCCGGTAACATTATTACTTATAATGATCTTTTTTTTTTGTTATTTTAGGATCGATATGGTTACTAGCATTCAACCATTGACGACGAGTTGGAGAGGTTGGCACATCAGCACACGTCGTAAATTTGTTAAAAATTTCGGTTTTGGATAAATTCAGCGATATCGGATGTGCCTTGACACTAGGACTTTTTAAAAATAAATATAAATCAATTGAAAAACAGTTTGATACAGTACGTCCTGGAGGTCTGTACGTAAATGGTTAAAACTTTTTTATTGTCACTTTTTAATTGTTCATGATTTACATATCAAAAGTGGGATTTTCGTCTTTTGGATATATTTCATCGAGTCTTTAAAATATAAAAATATACCTCAATAGACATGCCCAATTAATCGAGTCTTATTTTATACGCCAACATTACAAATATATGCGAGCTTCTACAATCTTCTCCAGACCTTTAAGATCTTAACAATAGCCGATGTTATACATATGCACATATGCGAAATTTTAACGGATTATCTAAAATGGCCAATAGTAAGGAATTTGACTCATGGTGTTTCAGGTTCGAAGTTGTAGCTGTCTTATTATTTACTTAATATTTTACGGAAATCCTACAGTTGCAAATCGATAAAAATTTACATCTTCGAAAATTATAGAAAAAAGGATGTTCGTTTTTTTTTTTCGTTTTTATAATTGTTATAATAGGCATACCTTTTGTTTGAAATCGATAGAAGTCCATTAAATTTTAAGTTTACCCGACTTCATATTCTTATTTTCACGCGTTCTCTTTTAATATTGGTTGGCTACCACATTGTTTTTAAATGTTTACTATATGTTTGCGAATTTATTATTCCCTTTAATACATACTTACGTTTTAGCTCTACAACGCTTTATTAACCTTTTTCATTTTTTCAATATTTTCATCCTATTTTTCAATAATTTTACAAATTATACAATTTAAATAAAACAGAAAATTCAGTTTCTGGTTTTCCAAGTTTTATTTAACATAAAAATCATAATGATACAAAAAAAGCCATGATCAAGTTATTATGTTTATATATATTAAGAGACAATTTCCAAACAAACGGATTATGCTACTAGGGCAAATTACAGTACACCAAAACTATATGTAACAAATTTGCAAATACATACATGAAAGAAAGCGTTCTGGGATTGCATATTATTAAGGATATTTTTGTTCAGATGTATTTTAACCATTTACATATAAAATTCTTGGGCTCACCGACAATTAAATCTGTTGACAAAAAATATTAGATTTCAAGTATTAGCACCAAATTTTTTTTAACTCCAATAACTGGACTATTTTGTACATACGTAAATAACACAATGACTGAAATATACAGATTTATAAAACTATAAAGTCTATACAAATTTAATAAATTGTTGTGTAAAATATGTTATAACCATTTGTTTAGCTGTATTTTTTTTATAGAGAAGAAATATGTAAATATAGTGCAAATATTGTTATGTAATCCTGGATGTATTCGATATGTAAACCAATACTTTGAAATCCAAATTTTTTGTTGACAATGCATAATTTGCCAGTAAAGTAAGTGATGTATATATTTCAATTTTATACTCTTATTATTATTTCCATATACTGTACTAACCAATAATCTCTATATATCGGGCTTCTTCTTTTTGTGTAAGAGTTATATTTACTTATAGATCTTTTGTAATTATGAAAATTTTTAAAACAGTTATATATTAGTGGTGATTATTTGTTTTGTATATTGTATAAAATCTTTTGGAAACAAATGTCTTCTTGTTTGTATAGTTGTAAATGAATAAAATGGCTTAAATAGATAATTGTCAGATTTGTAAGCGCATTACATTATTTTTCAACCTTCATCATAGCCTTGAATCATGGAAGTTGAAATAAATATATTTGAAGTACATTATCGGTAGTCATTTTAGTTAAAACTTGAGATTGGTTACACAAACTTCGGTCAGTTGATTCCACATTTAACTAATGGATCATTAAAAAAAGTGGTATTAAGCGGTGGTTTAGACTAGTATTTTATTATCACGATTGATTCTTTCGTTTTAATTCAATCACCTCAAATTGAACGACCGAATCTCGCTAGTTCATAACGATCGAATCGTATGGTGACAAAAATCTATTGACCGACCGATCAAGATCGAACCAAAACAAAATGGTACAACCAATACTCTCATTACTTTCGGTCCTCGATAGTTCCTCACTTGCGACGAGGACCGATATATGCCATGCGGCTAAATGATAACGTTCGTTTGAATTATTGAAAACTTGAAATAGTACATTACATATTGAATTAAGAATTGCGTACAAGGCCGCGACTTAGCTACAAACCGGGAATATTGGTGTTAAAACATATTCTATCGGGTTAAAAACCGATTGCTTTCGCTTGTGTTATTAGTTATTAGGTAGTTAAAATCATGAAATATCGCAAAATTAAAATTTGCACAATGACAATAAATATTTTTATTTGGATGCAGCACATATGTCCATATAAATTTATAGCTATTTCTGAGTTACGACAAGAACCTAAGAATTTCCCTTTAAAATTTTTTAAAATATAGCAAAACTATTTAAAGGCTATAGCGGGTCAAAATTGCACCATGCTCGATTTAGTTTTGGGCCTGGCCATTCGAAAGGACATAATTAAAAACTCACTCAGGTCAATTTTCAAGTTCTAAAAAATTTTTTTTAGACGCTGTATTGCTGCATAAAATCTGAAAAAATTCAAGAAAGCGTAGTTTAATAATACAATACTACCTGATTTTTTTCAGATTTTTAGCTTGAAAATTGAGCCAAGGAAAAATATTTGAAATTTTCAGTAATATTTTAGGTTATGTCGGAATTTTTTGGCCAACTTTAAAACAATGTTTTTTTATGGGTTTTTTCCCGTTCTTTCGAATGGCATAGGTATTATTATCATTTTTAACGTGGAAAATGCCTAAAAATCGAAAAAACTACTTTTTTTGGCATTTTTCAGAAGCACCCCCACCCCTTAACAATAAATTGTATGGGCCTAGGTACAAAACAAAAAAAAAATAAGTATTACATAGAAAACAAAAAATTTATTTATACTGCCATAAAATACAATAATATCAGTTTTTATAAAATAAAAAAATATATTAATAAAATAAACATAAATTAGGTTTTTTAGTGAGATGGATGACTCATAACCCTAACAACATACATCTAAATTAATGATAATTCATATTTTTATATGTATTCTTACCTTTACAATCGAAACAAGCTATTAAAACTATTATTTTTTTCCTACAGCATGCTAAAAAAAAAAACGAAAAACCCCGTTTTTTCGGCGTTGTTTTTAAGCTTTCGCTATATAACCTCTAAAGTCAGTGTCTAAATGAATGGTAATTTACATTTTCACATGTATCTTCAGAAAAAGACTCTGAAAAATGAATCGTGATTTAGAACGCACTTGTACACTCAAAAGTTGTGGAATTAAAAGCTAGCGAATATATCTACATATATACGTGATAATATATCACAATGTACATGCATTTGAGTGAGTGAGTTTTTAATTATGTCCTTTCGAATGGCCAGGCCCAAAACTAAATCGAGCATGGTGCAATTTTGACCATCTTATCCCGCTATAGCCTTTAACATCTACTGAATAGAAAAAATTCCCAATAATCCGCCCGTGTTATTTACTCTAAACATACATATATAAACGAATTACAGTTAAAGCTAAGATATTTTATATATCTTTGTATAACATATTTTCGGAAAAAAAAACTATAACAAATGTATAGATTTCACAGCCATTCACTTGCAGAAAGCCGAGCATTTTCCAAAGTCATGTAGGCCTCGGCGGTAGACAAGGTTTGGACAATATGAAACACTATGACGTGTGGTCTATGTAGTTGGACCAGTAAAACTTGAAGGGCTATTCGAAGCAAAGACACTTCCCTTTATGCCGTACTAAATGTGTATTTTCTTAAAGATTGTTCTAACCGTATATGATGACATCCTGACATTAAGTCTGTAACTGAAAACCATTTTGCTCTCCTGAGTTAATCTAATATTGAGTCCATCCTGGAGAATTTGTCTATCTGTGACTAGCTTTATGTTGTCTGAAATCTATGCGTAACCTCCATGCTTTATTTCCATCTATCGCCTTCTTCAGTACTGGTACAACCGGACTGTTGTATTCTTATATCGATGGCTCCAAAATTCGTTGGTCTCTTAATTTGTTTTCTTGTTTGTTTAGTTCCTCTATTCTATCGTTACTGGGGCAATTATTGTGGATATTATTAAGCTTAGCTTGCAAGGTTTCGCTTTGGTACAACGAATGTGTTTTTATAACAGACACGCATATATTGTACAATGTGTATTCTAGATTTCTAATTGCCCTAATAAAATTTGGGAACTATATAATTTAAGGTTGTTTTATCGGTGCATCAAAACCTAGGTACTGTTATTTACCGACAAAACGTCTCGAAATTTTAACACAATATTGGAAATTATGTTGCTTTTAAAATGATGGTTTTACTTTTTTTATTTTTTTTTGAAACTTCTGTTGAAAAATTGGATTATACTGTTTAACGTTCTATTATAACCAAACTTTTTACGCCCATCACTTGAGTTTTTTTTTTTCTATAATCGTTGATTTTTTTTCACCTTTCTGTGTCCAGTAATAATCGAGAAAAGCGTGTTCCAATGAAGAAAATTGCTAAAAAATATTAAAATCTAATAGTGAAACGTGTTACTCATCATTGTCGCTTAGTTTCACCGTTATAGCCTTCGTGACGTCAAATCTCATGAACGTACGGTCAGTGGGCGTGCATGATTTGGACGCTAAATTTAAAATTCAACACTGAAAAATAAAATTACCCGTTTCTGCATACATGATTTGGACGCTGGGTGTAATTGAAATGTAAATGGAAAGTCAGGTAATAAAATTCTAGAGATTAAGCTTGATAAGGTTTATTTGTCACTTCGAAATAAATTCGACATACATTTTACGAAATGGAATCGATCGATACAGTTAGTTTGATACTCATGTATCCTATTTCTAACAAACATAATTTTTTTTCTACTCTTTGGATCTTTAAGTCTATTACTTTCACTATTACAGACACTATTAATTTTAATGTAAGTTTCAGTTTGAAAATTTGTTAAAACATCAATAAAATGGAAAATATTTGGATGAGCATGGTAAAAATTATCATTAAAACGCGAGTGGAACGATTCACAGGCATTAGTTGTTAATTGTAAACTCTCATTCATCGCGGCCCACATCTCCGACGGAAATCTTGAGTGGTCGCCAATGTAGTTGTCCAATAAGTAGTCGGAAAACTTTTCAATTTTTGAATCTTTTGGTTGAATAGCCATAAAATCATATATGAAAGATTCTTCGACTTCTGAGGGAGGTAAAAATGGCAGCCCAAAAATATATTTCAGCCATTTAGATATTTCACTGTCTGCCAATTTATATGACCGAATTAAGCCACAACCACCGATATTACGATACCAAGCTTGCATAAGATGAAAACGGCACCCTTTAATGTGCACATTTGGAAATTAAAAACGCGCAGCATTGTGGATAGCAATTTCAAAATCGGAGAAAATGATTTTTCGATTTAATTTTAGACCAATTACTTCACATTTGCGTTTCAAAACATTAAATAGTTTTATATAGGTTTGTTCCGATTTGTCGGGAAGTAAACAATAACACAATGGTATATAATGTCCATTGATAAATACATGTATGGTAAAAAATAGCTTGAAGTATTGAGCACAGTAACTAAATGTACCGTCCATATAAATCGTTTCACTGCCGCACAGAAAACGCATGTTAGTGTTACACGAGAAGATGATAATGTTAGAACTTAGTTCAACGGCAAATATAAAATTCTCGTCTTTAAGTGTTTTGATATTTATAATATTTACCACAGCAACAGTTTCTTCTTTACTTTTGGGCAGTTTCGGTTGAGCCATTCGCCGTTCACTGTACATTAGATTTCGTATTAAATTAACGTCTTTAACAGACATGTGGCTCAAGCAATCTACATTTTCTTTCAACGCACTATGTATGATTTTGGACGGCCTTTCGGTCAAATTATCCTTAGCCTTTCTTTTGGCACTGCTACGCACAATATGTCTATTAAGCGTCTTGATATCACACTCGTGATTATGTTCTATATTACTTCGGATCACTAACTTTTCTGGCCCTTTCGTGAATATCTTCGCTTTGCACGACCGTTTTACGCACCTCCAATACGTTTCTCTCGATTTTAGTACTTTATCGTGAGAAAAAGTAATACTGTTCACTTTGAGCAAAATTTAACCACGATTACTTACTAACGTTGAAATTTCCATGTTCACTTTTCACTATTCTCTAACAAATTAATAACTAGTAACTAAGTAAATTTCAATGACCATCATTAAACCCTAATTATATCTAACATCTGGTACCTGCGATAATCCTTCTGGCAGCGTCCAAAACAAGGGTACTTTTAAGACCCTCAGGTACCTCAGCGTCGAAAACATGCCCGCCCCGGTCAGTTAGTTCGTGTTAAAACTAATTTGAATGAAGAGTAATGCATTTGTTGTCATTAAACCGACGCCACTGAATAAAGATAGTCTCGCGTAAGCAGTGTAGAAAAGTAAGTGATACGCCCATTTCAAATCGCAGCGTGCTTGAACTGCTAAAACAGTTGACATCTCGTATCACTACAACTTGGAGTATCATGGAGATGCGTATTGCCGGACGATACAGTTTATTTGGAGACATTATAGAAAGGTTTGGTAAAAGAGGCACGAAAAGGCGACTTATTTTTTGTCTCCATTACCTAAAAAGTTGGTTCAATATGAAGAACAGCGGAGTCAGACAGGGTGACTCGTTAAGCCCACTTCTCTTTAATATAATATTAGACAAAATAATACAAACAGTACGTAAAGGTCATGGTTACAGTATGGGAAACAAATAAATTATGCAGATGACGCCGCATTAATCGCCGAGACAGAAGACAAGCTACAAAGATTAACACACATCTTCAATACAACAGCCAAGAAATACAATATGATAATATCAGCAGAAAAACCCAAATGTATGACAAGATCTAAATACCCACTACGATGTAAAATCGACATTGATGGAAAAATAAAAAAGCAGGAAGCAAGGTTTAGATATCTGGGAATAGATATAACTAGTTACGGAGATGTTGAAAAAGTAGTTCGACAACAAAGCTTAAAAGCAAGTAAAGCGCGGGATCTCTTAACGACACAATCTGGAAGAACAAACACCTAAGACAAGACACAAAAACAAGAATCTATAAAGCAGCAATTAGATCTATATTAACATACACAGCGGAGACAAGACCTGATGCATCTAAAACGAGACCAATACTAGAAACAACAGAGATGAAAATACTTCGATGAATATCAGGGAAAAGTCTGTTGAGCATGCAATTTAAAATACAAATTGATAGGTGACAAAACGGAAACAGGAGTGGAGTGAACACATTAGTAGAATGGCAGTGGATAGGATAGTACGAATAGCACGAGATTAGTCACCAAATGGACGAAGAAGTATTGGCAGACCAAGAAAAATATGGTGCGACAATTTAAACAATTTAGAAGGCTAATATTGAAGAAGAAACAGGCTTTAAAGCCTACATCCAAGAAGGAAGAAGAATATGAAGAACAGGCTGTTATACAGAATATATGTATGCTGTATTATAATACAGAATTGTATCATTCTATTTTCGTTTCTATTTCTTTCCATTTCTTCGTATTCTCTCATGCACCCCTGTCCTTTGTTTATATAATTTTCTATCCTTGCATTCCAGTCTTCTGTTATTCATACTGTTTGATATAAATATCATATAAATCCTCTATATATCTAGAACAAAATATTGTGCATATGTGTTGCTTGCAGCATGTTTGTTGATTTCAATTGCTAAAGAACCCTACTTTAAACGGAAATAGGTTTCCGTATCATACTTTTCATAGTGCCGGCCATGTTCTTTTTTCATTTTCATTTCTATCTACTGAAAATTACTACCATTAAAATAAAACAAGTTATTTAACACATATATACATACATTTTATTTTTAACAAAACATTTTTACTTATCTAATATTTAAATATGTTTGACATTTATAAAAGTATTTTTTATTATGCACTGGTATTAAATATTTTCATATTTACTATTGTTATACACACAGTAAACCTGTCATTATTCGGGTTGTTTTTATTGACACAAAAAGTAGAATAAAAACACAAATAAAATTGGACAAGTGCGTAGATGTGTGAGTTTGCAAAAACTTTGTTGAGGAATATTGTATTGACTTGACAAAATGTCAAAAAACGATGTAATATTGTAAACTTCATGCTTTTTTTTCTCTTGTACACTCGATTTCCAGTTTATGTGATCTATGTACAAACCTGATTTACAATAGTCGAACATGGTACTATTTTTATAGTAATTGTCAGCTAGGAAAATCAACACCTTACACACTTGGTATTTCCGTATGTGGCCGAGAAATCTTTATCGGTTGATATGCATAACAAAGTGTCGTGTCGCAATTTGTGCCAACAGCATTCATATTGGATCGGTAAAAACATGAGAATTGATACCGAGAAGTCATTGCCTTAATCAGCTGTTTTATCTCACTATGCTATTTCTTTTCTTACCCCCATATCAATTTTATTTTCTTTGTTAAATTTGGTTGGAATTATCTGAAAACTCACAACCATACTAATCTTTGCGCATTCATGTTTAAAATATATAAAAATTTTATCCAGTTTCAATTGTTTAATTTACTTGCAATTATTACAATTCGAAGCTATAGAGCCAATTTGGGTTTGAGTTTGCGACATTTGAAACATTTCTGTCTGGTATCGAATCACTTAACCACTATATTACTCAGTATGAAAAGAGTCTGCAAGCCCATTAAACCGTCGAGCCAACGATGTATTTCTTTGGGGTTTCTATAATTTAAAAAAATAGGTTTCTAAATAAACTCATTTGATTAAGCGTAATAGAGAAATTCGTAATTATGATTGTTACATTGTACAACATGTTCGGGTTGCTTTAAATAAATTCGACAGTTTCCTTATTATCTCGATTTCCTTATAAAGATCTGGAAGTTGGTCAGAAACATGGACCATCTCCAAAACAGACGCAAATTGTCTGCACCTCTTCAAAAGAAAGATACTTGGCGCAATCTGTGAGAATTATATTTTGAGAAGGCGATATAATTTCGAATTGTACGAGAAGTATAAAGAAATAGTTAATGTTAGAGATGGAATACCGTCTAAAAATAGATGGGCTTAGATGGGGTGGACATGTGTCAAGATCAAATGAAAATTACCCGCCCAGATCAGTAGGAAATAGGAGTAGAGGCAGACAAGACTGAGATGAAAAGATGGTATGGACAAGGACGCGAGGATCGGCGCAGCCGAACAGTTGACGATGAACAGAAACGACTGGCGATGATGAAGATCTCGAAGTCGATTACTTAATTTACCTAAATATCACACACTTTTATTATTACACTTCTTATTTCGCGTGCACCTGTTATTGGTTTGGTAGGTGAGTGTGCACTAAGGCGTTAATTTTTTGTTAAAAAAACCAGTTTGGTTGCTATACACTTTTTTCCTGCTGGTTTCTAATAACTGGTATAAGCTGCTTTATTTGTATTCCCACTATACAATGATCTGTGTTTGCATCTGGTCCTCTGTATGTTCTTTATACATTTTCAATGTTTTTTTTTTACGAGCGCATGAACTATTTGGTTTACATCACTTTGGTTTGGTTTACAATGATCTTTTTTTTTGCAAAATCTTTTAAGAAGTCACCATTTTTGCTCGTTACTTCATTCAAACTATAGTTTCTATAGTGGGTACGTATATTTCTTATTTTCCTGTTTGTGCATTAACAGCACTTTGTACTCTATTTACGTCGTATTTGGGAATGTTTTCAAATACTGTGTCTATTTGATAATTGAAGCCTTTATTTCTTTGTGTTTTTCTTTCGGTGTGCTTATGTTTATAAATGCTATTTTTGGTATTTTCCCCTTATTATTAGTACGCGTATTCTCTCTGATATCGGTTTGAAGTCAACGATTAGATCCTTTAGCTTTTTATGTACCACAAAGTTTGTAAGTCTGCATTCATTTTCACTGAGTTTTGTCCTAGTTGTTTCACTACAGCAAACTGTAGTGCTACTATTTCGAATTTATATGTTTTGCATTCGTCAACTAGGTGCTTTAGTTTTTCTTCCTCGTATTTTCCTCTTATATTCAATATCCCTACTAATATTATGTTTCCCTACTAATACCTACTAATATTTGTCTTGTTTCCAGTAATAATCTGTCCATCTTGTGTACCTTTGTTTTTTTTAGGTCACTTTGGTTATTTTAACATGTTTTAATTGTGCTGCTAGTTTTTTGGTTTTACTTTTTTTCTTTTATTATTTGTTGTTGGCTGGTATTCGATGTTTATATTTCGCCGTCTATGATTAGTTTCTGGTATCTTATTTGACATTTTTTCCTATTTATCTCCATGCCGTAGTCCTACTTCCAATTTTCTTTTTCTTCCTTTTTATCAGCAATTCTCCTTGTTCATTGGCGGATTTATACCTCTATGGAACGTTGTCACTCCATCTTTTGCGCAGCCGGCTGATACTTTTTCTGGCTATTGATGACTTATCTCTTGCTATTTTGACGACACGGGTCTCCTCCATTCTGCTTATGTGGTTATTCCATTATTTTTTTTATTATGTGTCCATTCATTTATACACTGTACGTTACATTTTCTTTGAAGTGAAGACTAATGTCTTCACTTCTCTTTCGATCTCTCAGCATATTTCCCGTATTTCTTTCCAGTACTCTCATCTTTGCAGTTTCCAGTAGCCTTTGCGTTGTTGTCTTACATTGGCTTTAAAAATTCTTGACTTCATTTCAGTGTTAATGTGTCTGTTTCGCCATATAGTGCTATTAAGGCATCCTGTCAGTCTATTTGCTTTTTGTATTTGATCCCTCACTTCTTTGTCCAGGTCTTCATAGCTGGACAGTGTAATTCCCAGCTATTTTATTTCCATTACTTGTTCAATACTGATGCCATCCAGTTATATTTTACATCTTGTTGGTTCTTTGCTGACTACAATTATTTTAGGTTTCTGAGATGAGATTCTTTTACTCTTATATTAAATCTGTGGACCAGTCTTCGCAGATTATTTTCATTTTGGGCTATCAATATTGCGTCATCCGCGTAACAGAGTATTTTTATTTTATTGCTTCCCACTCTTCCTTTGTTAACGCTTTTGATGATTTCATCAATGAACAAATTGAATAGCATTTGGCTCAATGAATCCCCTTGTCTTATTCCGCTGCCTATTTCTATTGGTTCTGTAAGTTGTCCATCTATTCTGATGATGATTCAGAAGATGGATTACATCTTTGAATCTTACTCTGCCAAACGCTTTCTTTAGGTCAATCAGACACAGAAATGCTGGTCTATTATACTCTAGCGATTTCTCAGTAATTTGCTTTATACCGAATATTGCATCTGTACACGATCTTCCACTACGAAAAGCCTGTTGTTCATCTTCTAAACTTATCCTCTGATTTATTAGCACTTAACAAAATTTAGTTGTAAGTTTTAGCAGTTTATACCTCTACAGTTTTCTGGCTCTTTTTTATCTCCGTTTTTGAATAGAAGAATTAGTTCGCTTGTTCTCCATTATTCCGGTATTTTATTGTATTTTTATAATTTTATTAATTCATTTTGTTAATTTTTCTGTCTTTGCTGCTCGACAATATTTCAGTAATTCGTTTGGTATCTCGTCTTTACCTGTTGCTTTTCTGTTCTTCAGTTTTTTAAGTATTTTCCGAACTTCTTGTACATTTATATTGAGTTCTTCATTTGTGGTAATTTCTTGTGTTTCCGGTTCTATCGTCATTTGTTCTTCCTTTGCATAGAGCTTTATTAAGTAGTCAATCCATGTATCCTTTTCTATTTGTTTTATTTCTAATAGTTCCTTTACCTCCGCTCTTTGACCTCTTATGAAGCGCCATATTTTCTTTTGCGCCATTTTTCTGTTTAAAAATCATGTGTTCCATTTCTGTCAAAAAGCGTTCCCAGTGATCATTATTTATTTTTCATACAAATGCATGTGTTTCGTTTCTAATTGTCTTGTAATTATGGTATGCCTCTTGTGTTTTGGTTGACATGTATTTCAGGTAAGCTTTTTTCTTTTCTTTATATTTTACCTTCATTTCTGTACAAAACCATGAAGTTCTTATTTTATTTTAAAGTTCTGATTTATTTTTATTAATATTTCTTTCACCAAGAATTTCCTTGACCGAGGTTAAGATATTAGATTTAATTTTTGCCCACCTTTCTTCGAATCAATTACATTCTGCGATATATGTGTTTCTGCTTTTTTTTAAAGCAGAAAAAGCAGAAACTTCCAATTTTGTTTTGAGATAATTCTTTCTTCTTTTGACATATCATCATTTATATTAATTCGTTCGTCCTTTTTGTTTTACTCATACAAAAAATCAGCTTGACTAGACTTTTCATGATACACATGTTAATCATAATTTACCAAAGTAATTGTAATTGCAATGCTTTTTCATAATCTATGAAACATATAGACGTGGTTGTGTTGTACTGTTTTGTCTTTGCTCTCTATATCTACGTACCAATCTATAAAATTAGTATTTAGCTTTTGGTTTTTGACTTAACTATGCCTGCTTACTCAATATTTTTTGAGGATTTTAGTGATGCTACATATTAAACAATTATTATTAAAGAAATACGTTCACTTGGTAGAAGATATTATTCCAAAAATTGTTAACAGGTACCTCGTTACTAATATTATAACATCATCAATACCATTTATTAGTCCTTAATCTTTGAGATTTTTTCTCCATCATGATCCACTAGAGCCAGTGAATTTCCTTAATTAATGTCCTTTTTACATCTTCAAATAAAACAGTAGATAGTAGATCAAGAAAAGAAAACTATTTTATCGACGTCTTCTATAAACGTAGAGCATAAGAGCTAAAACAAGTATGTTCCATTTTGTGTCGATTCATTTGATTCGAAATAGCCAGATCAAACTTTTTAAAAATGCGTAGCTTTTTAAGTGAAGATCGTTCGGTATAGAAATAAGAAACAGTTTTGGTAAAGTGCTAGATATATTCCACAGTTTTGTACGGAGTTGAAGTGTGGACGCTAAAAGTTAGCTGCCTGAATAGACTTAAGGCATTTGAAATGTGGGAATATTGAATAATATTGCGAATAAATTGGACTTGTTGTGATAGCAAACTTGGAAGGTTGTGAATGTGAGCTAATTGAAATCATTGAAAAGCGAAAATATGCATTTCTGGGCCATGTAATGAGACAGGATAGATGTTACTTTCTTTAACTAGTAGACGTGGACCAAGACGTAGACTATATTTCTAGGTTGAGAACATATGAGATTAAACAAGCATTAGGTTCAAACGATTTGCTGATTAAGGCCCAAGATACAGAAAACTTTATCATAATTATTGCCGATCTTCGATGGGAGAAGGCACTCGAAGAAGATGAAGGTTTTATTTACTCCAAAAATATGTTGAATTATTGTCATGGATGTCAATTGGTTAGACCTAAAAAACAGTTACTTCTAAAAATATGTGAAAAGAAACAATTTAGATAGACAATGTGAAAAGAAACAATTTAGATACAATATAGATAGACAAAAGTACTATCATTGTTTTCTCTATAATAAATAAACTCATTAAACTATTATTATTTACAAAAACATATACAACATCTTGATGATTCTTAAACTCAGTACGGTTTTTTAAATTTACAAATTTTTAATATACAAATCATAAAAAAAATTAAAAATTTAAAAAGTTAATGATGAACTACGGTATTCCAAACGTTTACTGCTATGTCTATTACACGTCCTTTTAGCTTTATTCAGGTTTTTAGCACTCGTGAATTTATTAAAATATATAATATTTTTAAAGCTGTCGTGCTAGAGGCTATAACAAGAGTTACAAAATCAATGTAATATGTGACTAAACTATAAATTTCAGAAATGAAGTTGTCGATCGTCTTGAAGTAGCGCCTCGGTACCTCCATTTTTGGTACTGTAATCCCTATCGTGTTTTCCAGATTCCACTTTTATGAACAAAATTATTCCCAGAATAATGCCGATAGCGTGAAAGGCACTAATTCCAAGTGCGGCTATAAATATTATCCAGAAATTGGTTTTAATTTTTTCTGCAACATAGCTGATACATCCCTAAAAATAAAAAATTTTAACAACTTTATTTATTATTTTTTTATAGTGCATATATATATATATAATATATATATATATATATATATATATATATATATATATAATATATATATATATATATATATATATATATATATATTGTGTGGACAGGTCACAAAATCAATTTTGTGACCTGTAGCTAAAATTGAATCGGAATTGCGAACAAAAATGGAATGTTCATAAAACCTATTTTGTATTCTACGATTTGTTTGGCCTATATAGGATCATGGTCGGTCTGCACAAGGAATTTAAAATACTCCGTGTTGTTCATTTGGAATGTTGTCTTTAATTGATCGGAAAAGTGAAAGTTTTTGTTGGGGGGTAAATAATGCCTTTATGTCGATTTTATTAGTGACAAAGTTTTCGTATGATGAGGGTCTGAGTCTTTGGGTTAGTTTTAGTGGGAGATTGATATCTGTGGATGTCCTGTTGATGTGATTTTCGCAGTAACCGTTTCAGACGAGGGCTTGCTTTAAACTAGAGAGCTCATCGGTCCTCCCTTAATCGGAAGAGAAGGGTATTAATGATTGAATTAATTTGTGAAAGTGTTGGCATACACTTGAAATGATGAGAGTTGGCATACAAGTGACGATTGGTATGGGTGGATTTTCGATAAACAGAGTGATGAAAATCTTGGATTGGTTTTTGTTTATGATAACGTTGAGAAACGATAGGAATGAATCAGAATGAATGAAAAGACATCACTTGGGAGCACTTTGACCTTTGACGTCTTCATTCATCTTCGTCCTCACTCCGCGCTCAAGCCGCTCCTTATATGGTCATGCCACCGCCTCGTGATGACGTTATAGTTTGACTATGATCCACTAGTCGGCGCTAAAAGTTACTTTAAGACCTGTGTAAAATGGTGAAGCAGATATGGTAAGAAGTAATGAGGCGCCTTAGTATGAATCAGTAGTAATAATATTAATTCATAGAAAGGAATTCAGGCAATTATTATAAACAAACATTTCTACTTGACGTCTTATACAAAGCCTCTGCGAAAGTTATATTTGCTAGTGGCAAGTATATGGAGAACATATTGTCCCTACAGTACTACTGAAAAGTAATTCAGCAACTTTAATTGTTTGTATTCATTTTAATAAAATTGTGTAAAAATGAAAACCAAACGCTAAACCGAAAAGAAAAATATCGAGGCCGTTTGAGAGTTGCAGCGTCCGTGAGATATACTAATATTACGTTACTGAGTTAATTTTTTCCTCGATTGTTTTAGTTTCTAATAAATTTGATACTTATAAACTATATGGTGTAATAATTTAAGATATTTACCTCTTCATGAATATTTGAAGGATGATCTCTGTATCCACAATGTTCAGATACAGTTTTACAGCAGGAATCAGGAACTCTGTTTAAAACAGATTCTTTTTTGATCCATTCATTTTGCCGCCAATCTATATAATTGACAGCTCCACAACAGTGCAGCTAAAAAAAGTTTAATATAATTAATAAATAAAACTAAAATGGTGAACAGTATAACGCAGACTGAAAAGTCTGAAATTGTTTTTTTTTGTGGGATGTTTGGGTTACATCAATAGCGCAGCTAGAATTTTCCTCTGAGGGTGGGGTTTGGTTGGGCACCGAAATTTTTTTATGCTACCTCCACCATTTTAAGTCCTTAAAATTTGTGAATAACAGTATCGGAATAGGGTCCTGGGGGGGTTAACCCCCAAAACCCCCGTGCGTGCGCCACTGGGTTACATTATTTATTTATATGGGATTAAGCCACAATTGATTGTAATAAAAATAATTGTTTGACGTTTTAATATGGAACCAAAGTTTACAAAAAATAAACCCCCACCAACAGATACTTAAATTACCAATCAAACCACAATGTAAGTATCGATTTACGTTGTCATTTATAAACCAGAAATTTTACAAGATTAAAGAGAGGAAACAATAAAACACCAGAAAAAACCAGTCTTAAAGATGACAACAATATCATATATAAAGGGCTTATCAGAAAAATTAAAACCAATATTACAACAACAATTAAAACCACCAATACACTTAGATCTATTATCTCGGCAAATTATGTTGCTTATTAGTAAATTTGGAGTTTTACCTTTTATTTGTGAGAATAACCTTGAATTTAGAAGTAAATTGTATTATATTCATTTTTAATGTTCGTTAATAACTAGTTGTGGATTATTCATTTATTTATTAGGAAAAACGCCCCAAAAACAAAAAAGTCTCAGAAAGAAACCGTGTTTTCTCAACCTAATGAAGCAATACCCAAAGTTTGGAGAGAGTATCATCTATCATAAACTTTTTTGCCGACGGGGACTCTAACTATTAAGTGGTATGTTCTTTCTTAGTCAAGAAAATAAAACAGACCTATTTACATATAAATACAGTCAGATTGAGTACAAATAAAGATCAATTTATGTTTTAAAATCATTTTTATCTTACCTTTTCCTGAATATAATCAATGGATATCGTTTTACTATCGTCGAATTGGTAAGTACTTATTATCGTTTTGTTAAAATTAAGGTTTAAATCTTCTTCGATATTATCCTGGAAGATGAAGGCTAGCACACCAATTAAAATTTCGAATAAAAATAGTACTAATAGGAGAATAATATACTGAAAAAGAAAGAAAATAAAATAAGATACGAAAAAAATTAACATATTATGTGAATATTTTAATTATCTTATAGACTACAAGCCCATTGGTCAATTGACGCAGCATGAGTCACATAAATTAATACTACAATATGTAACAACTTAAGAAACTATACCGCCAATTCTTATCGGTACACAAAGCATGGGGTTCAAATTAAAGGTTGCGCCTTAGATTTGTCACCCCCGTCCCAGTCAAAATGTTTTACGTTGTAAAAAAATTAAACTATATACCGATTCTAAACTTTTTGTATGAATGCAGTGCTGTGCCAAATTACCGAAAATAAGGAAAATTTTCCGAAAATAAAAAATTTTCCCTGCTCCTAGTACCAATATGTTGGTTCCAGAGAGTTGGCATTATAGTTGATAAGAATTCTCAAAAAGCTGTTTGTAACTTTGTTCCCTACTCTGATCTGATATTGATGGTGTCTTTCAAATCTCCTTTCATCCTCCAAGGATGAAGACACCATAGAGAACTTCTATGAACAAATTGACAATATATTAAAGCTGGCTAAATATTGACAAAAATAAAATATATAGCTGACAAAAACAACAAAATAGTCAGAAATCAAATAAATTATATTATCGTCAACAGAAGATATAGAAATTTTATAATATCATCCAAAACTTATCCAGGAGCGGACATATTCTCCGATCACAATCCGTTTGTTTTCTTCTTCTCTTGTTTATCTGTCTTTTGCAACGTGGAATAATTCGTCTACAGTCATGTTTGTCCAGTTTCGAATATTTCGCAGCCATGACTTCTTCTTTCTACCTATTCCCTTTTTGCCATCGACTCTACCCTGCATGATGACCTGCAGAAGACTATATTTATCATTCCTCAGGATGTGTTCAAGGTATGCAGTCTTGCGTACTTTTATTGTTCTCAACAATTTTTTGCCTCGACCCATCCTTCTCAGCACTTCCTCATTGATGACCCTGGCATTCCATGGAATTCTCAACATTCTCCGGTATATCGAAGTTCAAAGTCTTCAAGCTTCCTAACTATTTGCGCTTTTAACGTCCATGTTTCTACCCCGTACAATAGTTAGGACCAGACGCTGCCCTTGCCATTTCTATTCGTACCCTGATCTCTTGGTCTGGATCTAATTCTGTGTTGATGTAAGCTCCCAGATATTTATATTTTGTCACTCTTTCTCTCTCTCTTTGCTGTCCACCAAGGGTTAGTTGTTCATTATTTATTGAACTCTTTGATACTATCATAAATTTGGTCTTATCTGTGTTGATGTCAAGTCCCATTTGAATGCATTCACTATTTATTGCATCTTGCAAGTTTGTAGTTCTTCTATACTCTCAGTCATAATTATCGTATCATCTGCAAATCTTATGGTGTTTACGATTTCTCCACCAATTCTTATTCTCTCTTTTTTTCCCATAAGGCTTTTCTGAATATAACCTGTGAGTACACGTTGAAAAGCGTCGGAGACAAGATAATCGGTATATTATTTGTTTCTATATCGTTCACCTTTACTACTGCTTTCTGGTTCCAGTATATAGCCTTAATAAACTCAATGTCTTTTTTGTCTAAATTTAATGCCTTTCTTAAGACAAACTGCTTTTGATCTATCTGCGTGTGTTTTGTCGATCAGAATGAAACTAAAGAATGTAAAGCACCCTATCTCCAAAAAAAATAATGGATGCAAGGCGGTTCAAACAAGACAACACATATGCAGATACGAAATTTAAAATAAACGAAAACTTACGGAAAGTCAAAGAAGATAATGTAGAAACACTAACTATTGACCAAAACTGGGGAAAAATTCAATATGACCTTGTGTCAGTTGGAAAAGAAACCCCCAAAGAGCTTGGGAAAAAAACAAAACCTTAAATGACAGTAGAAATTCTTGAACTTATGGAAGAACGAAGAACAATAAATTGAAAAAAACATCACAAAGAAAATTCGAGAGGCAAAAGAGAGGTGGCTCTTCGGCAGATGCAAAGAAAGATAAGATCTGGATAAAATGATAGCTTTAATTTAGACAAAAAAACTAAAGAAATGATAGGTCCTAGAAAAAGTACAAGAACGAATATCATTAAAAATGATAAAGGAGATATTATTATACTGATATAAAGGAAATATTGTGTCACTGGACCAATTACTTTTAAAAGCAATTTAATGATGAAAGTGAAGAACTATCATTAGAAACCACAGAGGATACGGGCCACCAATATTACGGGAAGAAGTCATGTATGCCATCAAAAACACAAAAGAGGGCAAAGCTACCGGAACAGATGATGTGCCCATCGAATTATTAAAACTCATTCATGAAGATGTTATTGATGTTATGATCGAACGCTTTAATCTAATATATCAGACTTCCACAATCCCCAGACAATGGCTGCAATCGAGCTTTGTGGCAATACCCAAAAAGTCAAGTGCAATATCCTCCTCAGATCAGAGAACAATAGCTTTAATAAGTCACATACTTAAAACATTTTTTAAAATAATACATAGCAGAATTGTTAAAACTCTTGAATATGAAATTAGTGACACACAATTTGGCTTTAGAAATGGTATGGCCCAAGAGATGCTTTGTTCGGCTTGAATGTACTGGCCCAGAGATGCATGGATATGAATCAGAACATGTACTTATGTTTTGCAGATTCTGAAAAGGCCTTTGATAATGTTAAACGTAAAAAGCTCGTAGAAATATTAAAACGCAAAAATATTGACAGTCGTGATATGAAAATGATATCTAATCTATATTGGAATCAAACTGCGAAGATAAGAGTTGATAACCAGATAACACCTGAAATATCAAAATACAGAGAAGAGTCCGTCAGGGTTGCGTGCTATCACCACTACTTTTCAGTGTCTACAGTTAAACGGTATTTAAAAAAGCGTTCTCAGATTCAATAGAAGGTGTATCTATTAATGGAGAAGTTTTGAATAACTTCTTGTGTTTTGCAGACGATACAGTAATAATGACGGATAAAAATAATGATTTACAGAACGTAATGCAACGACTTAATGATTGCTGTCATGAATACGGACTAAGGATAATTTTGAAAAAACTAAATGCTTCATTATGACTAAATCAGCAGATGCAAACATCCAATTGATTGTGGATACCTACAAATACTTAGGAACATGGATAACGTCAAATGTAGACCAAACCAAAGAAATTAAGACACGTATTGAAATAGCACGTGCATCATTCGTTAAACTTAAAGCCGAAGTTTTTCGTCAGTTACACAACAGTCCATCAGGAGAGCATTTCGGTGTAAAGAAAACCCTTCAGCAAATTCGGGAACAGTTTTATTGGATGAACAGTTCCGACGACGTAAAAGACTGGTGTAAGAAATGTAGTATTTGTGCTACGGGAAAACGAACCATACTGAAAAAGAAGAGCTCCTATGAGACAATATAATGTTGGAAGTCCGTTTGAAAGAATAGCTTTGGACATTGCTGGGCCATTTCCAGAAAGTGAAAATGGAGGCAAGTACATGTTGGTAGTAATGGATTACTTAACAAAGTTGGTCGAGATTTACGCACTTCCAGACCAGAAGGCCACCACCATTGCAAATAAGTTGATCACAGAATATATCAGCCGATTTGGAGTGCCTTTGGAGATCCATAGTGACCAAGGAAGGAACTTCGAAAGCGATCTATTATCTATTTCAATTATCTATTTATATTATCTATATCCATGAATAGGACAGTTGGCAAGTATGTGACAAATATGGTTTCCGATCATCAACGAGACTGAAACCAATATCTTCCGTTCTTCACAATGGCCTACAGATCTGCTGTTAACGAATCAACAGGCCAGACACTAGCTAGAGTCCTATTCGGACGCGAGATGCGACTACCTTGTGATCTAGAGTTTGGGTGTCGACCTGGAGAAGATATAGCAGATGAAGATTATGTGATCAAATTACGAAGAAGAATGGACGATGTACATGAGTTGGTCCGTTCCCATCTTCAGATAGCTAACGACCGAATGAAGAAACGGTACGATACGCAAGCCGAAATGAAGAATGAAGAAACGAAGTTCGAATGAAGAAACGGTACGATACGCAAGCCGAAAAAGGGTGCTTTAAGAAGAACGACAAAGTCTAGCTCTATAACCCCAAGAAGCGAAAAAATTGTTCTTCCAAGTTGCAGACGTTTTGGGAAGGTCCATATCTTATTATGGAGAAGATCAACGATATCATCTACCGAATAAACAAGATTCCGAGGGGAAAGCCGATGATAGTACACCATAAACGGCTAGCGTCTTTCGAAGGTGACCACGACGTAGATGAAGAAGTGGAAGTAAACCAAGTCCAAGATGTGTCTGACTTCACGTTTGAGGAATTCATGGAGGCCTATGGAGGTACCGGTAAAGCAAAACATGGTGTTACCACTGAAGAAAAGGAAGATCTACTCGCGCTTCCCGTTGACTACTCACTGGCCCTTACCATTTCGGCCAGTATCAAAGACGCACCAGGGTTGGCATCCGTCTTTCGAAGGAAGTTTGGTCGAGTTGCAGAACTTCAATGCCAAGTGCCAGCTCCCGGGAAAGCCTTGAAACTCTAAGATGCATCACGTTACATTTTATACCTAGTAACAAAATACACTGCCCGTGATCAACCTACCTACCAAGATGTATGGAAAGCCTTACTTCAATTAAGAGAGCACGTACTAAAGACCGACGTGCAAAAGTTAGCCATGCCAAAGTTGGAGTGCCGTCAATTAGATTGAAGGGTTATCCGAAGTATGGTGGAGGAGATCTTTAGACACCTAAGTCCAGGTGTTGCAAGTCTGTTGCATTCCGCATAGTTACTTTTGTGAAGAGAAAACCGCCCCTTGTAATTTTTATACAACTGGAAGTTGTAAAAGAGGGTCCAGTTACCGATACCAGCATACCGTTCCAATTCCAGTCCCAACAAGGATCCAAGGGGAACCATCCTTTAAGAGGGGGGCAATCTTACGATAAATATGACTCATACCATAACTATAAACATATTTTTCTACCAAATATTTTTTAGTAGGGTCCCCTCCGCTAAAACCTGTCTGGCGTCCATTGCATTCGAGAAAGTTCAGCAAGGGTCACCGGCCGAATTCTAGGGAACTCCAGATAATGGCTATTAAATATATATATAGAGACTTTTTATTGCAAACAGTTAGTCTAAAAAGAATAATTGTATCGAGTCAAGTTTGAATTATAACGCGGAAAATAAATGTAGTAAATAAATTATATAAATTAGAATAGTGTCAGTGAAAAATAAATTAGTGTAAGATTATATATAAATTAAATAAATACTGTAATAAACTAAATGTTAGAACATTTTATAATAAATAAAGTTAATAAATTAGATTTATAAAAATAGTTCAGTATAATAGGTATTAGTGCAGACTAATCACTTCATATCAATGCATATCCGATTAAGAATCTTGTGTTGATTTTATGTAATATAAAGAAGTAATTTTTAATCTTTTTTGTAATGTTATGTTCAAACTTAAGCACTCTATGAATTCCTTTACTACATAATATATAGTTATAATCGGTAATTACTGAGCTAAATATTATTTTGTCACGAAGGTATTTTTTGAACAGTTTATACACTTCACGATTTTTAATGGTTAGCCAGAAGTATTCGTTTAACAAAAAATAAAATAAATGTACAATTAGTTTTTTGATGTGTTACCAATACTTACTAAAAATAATAATTTGGTCCAACGTTTTGGTATCGCACAGCATCCCAAAAGGAATACTAAAATGACTAGACAACCCGTAGCAAGAAATAAATAGAATGCAGTTGAGTACATGTGACTATCCAGGACTCGTAAGAAATGGAACGTAATCATAAACTTCCATGCTGCCAACGCACAAATCGCTAATCCAGTGAACTAAAACAGATATATAATCAAATTTAATAAGAACTAATGATGAGTATTTTCTGAATTAAGAAAAATTTCAAGATGAATGAATTGATACTAAAAACATAGAGTATAATTTAAATAATAAAAAAAAACAGATTATAACAAATTTATTCTGTAGCTTGTCAATAAAAATTATTTTTTAAATATTGGCTTAGTACGAATCTATTAATTGTATTTTCGACGGTCATATTTTTGTTGTCACTTTGCCGCCATCTTAAAAAAAGGGAGAAACGGGGTTTGGTGTCGTATCGGGTAAACTAGCCACCCTACAAAAAATTTTGGAATAAATTTTGGAATTTTGGAATAAATTTTCTTTTGGGCCTTAATATCATAAAACAATTTTCAATATAAATTTGTTTAATTTTATTGGTTAACATTGACATTTGAAGCTGATCTTCTTCTTTGGGTGCCCTGTCCGTATTCAGACGTTGGCCGTCATCATGTTTACAATTTCCTGAAACCTTTCTCTGTCGGCTGCTGCGCGAAATAATTTTTCTACTGTGAAACCACACCATTGTCTAATATTACGCAGCCATGAAAGTTTCTTTCGACCAATCCATCTCTTTCCTTCCACTTTTCCTTGTATTATAAGGCGAAGTAAATGGTATTTAGGTCCTCTAATTATATGGCCGAAGTATTCTGTTTTTCTCCTCTTTATGGTGTTTATGAGCAGACGTTCTGAATTGATCATTTGAAGAACATCTTCATTGGAAGTGTGCGAAACCCACGATATCTTTAGGATTCGTCTATAGCACCACAATTCGAATGCTTCTAACTTGTTTAGCATTGTGGTTTTTAACGTCCATGACTCACAACCATACAATAGGATCGACCACACATAACATTTCAGGACCTTCTTACGAATATTCATTGACAGGTTTCTGTTGCATAAAACTGGTTTCCAGGTCATAAAAGCCTTACGTGATATTTCGATCCTGGATATTATCTCTTCATCAGAGTCACAATTTACATTTAACCAGCTGCCAAGGTATTTGAAATGATTTACCCTTTCTATCTCTTCCCCATTAAGAGAAAGCAGACCTTGATCTATATGGATCTTTCCAACTACCATCCACTTTGTCTTTGAAATGTTGATTTTTAGGCCTCTCCGATAACTTGCTTCACTGACTAGAATTTTCACAAACTTTCTGCAAGAATGGCTGTATCGTCAGCGTATCTAATATTGTTGATTACTTCTCCACCTAGTCTTACTCCCTCTTGTCTGTCATGCAAAGCCTCCCCAAAGATTTCTTCAGAGTACAGATTAAAAAGAGTGGGTGACAAAACACAACCCTGCCGTACTCCACGTTTGATGGGTATTTTTTCAGTGGGACTGTCTCCAATTTGGATAGAGGCTACTTGATTGTAATATAAGTTTTTCAGCAGTCTTATATCATAGTGGCCAAGTCCTGCTGCCCGTAGGCAGTCGAAAAGTGTATTGTGTTGGACTCTGTCGAACGCCTTCTCGAAGTCGATGAAACAAACATAAACATTCTTTCGGAATTCACAACTTTTTTTTAATAGAACGCGCATACAGAATAGTGCCTCTCTAGTTCCTAGACCGTTTCTAAATCCAAATTGCTTATCACCCATCTTACTTTCGCATAGAAGGAATACTCGGTTTTGTATAATTCGTAAGAGTATCTTCAGTGTGTGAATCATCAAACTGATTATTCTAAAATCGCTGCATTTGGTGGGCCTGCTTTTCTTTGGTAATGTTATAAACAGTGACTCTAACCAATCATCTGGTATTTTTCCTTCGTTGTAAATTTTGTTGAAGAAAGTGGTTAAGCAGGCAATGCTTTCTTCATCCAAAAGTTTAAGTAGTTCGGCAGGGATTTGATCTGGTCCAGGTGCTTTATTGTTTTTGGCTTGCTGTATTGCCTTTTGGACTTCCGAATTCAGTATATTGGGACCTCTGTCCAACTGGTTGTCACAGGCAGTATTTGGAGCATTTTCTCTAGAAGCATCGTCAAAATGGTCAGTGATGTATCTTTCCCATTCTTTGCGCTGTTGTTCATGATCACAAATTTTTCCGTCCGCGCTTTTAAGTATGTGAGCATTTTTCTGTTTTCTAATTCCGGCAGTATATTTAAGTTTCTTATGCTGGTTGAAGCTGTCATGATTTTTTTGGAGGTCTTCTATTTCTTTACATAAATTCTCAAGCCAGGATTCTTTGGCTTGCTTAATTTTTCTTTTTATGCGTTTATTAATTTCACGTTATTCGATAATATTTCTATTTTTGTGTTGCCGTCGAACTTCCATCAGATCTAGAATTTCTTGTGTCATCCACTCATTTTTTGCCAACATGGTAGGTGTTTTCAAAGACTCTTGTACGTTCTCTAAAATCGAGTTTTGAATGGCATACCAGCATTCGTTAATGGTTCTGTTTTCGTTTGGTATATTTGATATTCTGTGTATTTTACTATTTATTTGCTGTGATATGTGTTCACGCGTTTGACGGTTTTTCAGGGGGTCGAGATATATCTTACAAGGCTTAGTTGGCTTTGTTAATTTCTTCAATTTAATTTGTATTTTGGAGCAGAGTAAATTGTGATTTGAGTTTATGTCAGCGCCGGGGTAAGTTTTTACATTTTTAATATTGTTTCGAAATCGGTGGTTTATTAGGATGTAGTCTATTTGATTCCGTACTAATCTGCCTTGATGTCCATCTTGAGGGGATTTCCACGTGTAAAGACGCCTTTCTGGAAGTTGAAATCAGGTATTTGTAATGGCGAAGTCATTTTCTTGGCAGAATTCTATTAGCCGTTCACCTCTTTGATTTCTGTCTCCCAAGCCAAACTTACCGGTGATGCCCTGCGTCATCTTCTGTCCAACTTTAGCGTTAAAGTCACCCATAATTATTATTGCTTCGTGTTTCTTTGTTATTTTTAGCACTTCTTCTATTTGATGGTAGAATTCTTCAATATTCTGCTCATCTGCGTCAGCAGTGGGAGCATAAACTTGGATGATATTTATATTTACAGGTTTAGCATTCAGCTGTATTAAAATTACTCTGTCTGATATTGGGATGAAGTTAATGACATACTTATTGAAGCTGATGGACAGCTGAAGCTTACTTGAAGCTGATGGACAAAGGCAAATCAATGCGACACCCCAAACGGTACCATATATTTTTCAGGACGAAATGACAATCATCATAGTAATGGAGTGGCAATAATGGTCACCAAGGAAATAAGTAAGTCGATTATAAACTTTGTACCGGTGTCAGATAGAGTTATATTTCTACAACATTCAACCATTCAGGGAAAACTAAATATTGTTCAAATATATGCTCCTACAGCGGAGAGTAGCGAAGAAGACACAGAAGAACTTTATAAAACCATGAACATGAGATTGGAATGCGAAAATTGGGAAAGGAGAATGTAGCAAATCGGTTGTAAAATATGGTCTCGTCCAAAGAAATGAAAGAGGCTGTTGCAATTTTGCCAGGAAAATAATTTTATAATTAAAAACATATTTTATCAACTACCAAGAAGACGAGTATACACGTGGAAATCAACTGGAGATACTAACGACCATATTATACAAAATCAAATAGATTGTATAACCATAAACAACAAATATAAGAACACAACCGAATGTGTGAAAACGTATCCAGGAGCAGATTTCGAATCAAACCTAAAAGAGTACAAACACCTAAATCCAAACAAGTAATAGATCTCAATCGTTTAAATAATGAAACAATTAAACATCAGGTAGAAACAAGCATTCAGGCAAATCTTAAAAAACTTGAAAAGACAGAGAAGATACCAGAACTAGACATTAATAAACACTGGGTCATTATTAAAAAGAACGTGCTGGAGCCCGCTAAAATATTCCGAAGAGAGAAAAACCAAAGAAACTAAAAGAATGGATGAGTGACGAAATTTTGTTATTGATAAATTCTCGAAGACTATCGAAAAGTAAAAATGAAGAACAGTATAAGCAAATTAACACAGAGATCAAAAGAAAAATCCGCAACGCTTAAAAACAATGGTTACAAGACAAATGTAAGGAGATTGAAAACTTGAAAGCCAAATATGATTCGTTCTATCTTCACAAGAAAGTAAAAGAAATGATCAACAATAGAAACAGGAAGCAGACAGTACTTATAGACCAATAAGGGAACATGATAATGGAAACAGAGTAGAAACTAAAACATTGGCAGACATACATAGAAGAACTGTTTGACGATCAAAGGCAGCCTCCTTGTAATAATTTTCCAGAGGAAACAGGTCCAGAAATAAGCAAAGAAGAAGTAATGAAACTGGTGAAGTCATCAAAGAATAGCAAAGCTCCAGGATCAGACGAGCCACCAGCGGATAAACTAAAGTTGATAGAAGAAGATCGAATCCATTTGTTAGTAGATTTATTTAACAAGATTTATGAAAACAGTATAATTCCTGAAGAATGGTTAAGATCAACCTTTGTCCCTCTTCCCAAGAAGGCATATGCTAAGCAGTGCAGTGATCATCGCACGATCAGTCTGATGAGCCATATCTTAAAAATATTCCTCAAAATAATGCACAATAGAATTTACAGAAAATTGGAAGAAGATATCGGTGTTTAGATTCCGGGAGGGATATAGAACTCGCGAAGCATTATTTGTCTTTAACATCTTGACACAGAGGTGTTTGGATGTGAATCAAGATGTATTTGCTTGTTTCATTGATTACAATAAGGCGTTTGATAACATCAAGCATGACCAACTTTTAGAGATCTTGTAAGCTAAACAGTTAGACACTAGCGACATTAGAATAATATCTACTCTGTATTATAATCAGAAGGCAGTCGCACGCATCGAAAATAGCACAACAAATAAAATTCAAATTAAAAAACGAGTTAGACAAGGATGTGTGCTGTCACCAATGCTATTTAATCTCTTCTTCTTCTTACGGTGCCTATCCGTTCCGGATGTTGGCGATCAACATAGCTATCCTAACTTTCCTTGCTGCTATTCTGAA